GTTTTACGGATGATCCGACGTACCTTCTCCCGTATTACTCGCATGGACTTCCAAATACTCTATGGGGCCTACGTCAGACCGCTCCTGGAGTACGCCAACCAAGTTGTCTACTCAGGACGTACGAAAGACGTTACCCTCATTGAGCGTGTCCAGCGGGCCGCCACGAGAATGGTTGCCGGCCTCAAGTCCGTGGACTACGAAACGCGTCTCGCGACGCTTGATCTCTTTCCCCTGGAGTACCGTCGCCTCCGAGGGGACCTAATTCTTACCTACGCCCTGTTTGAACAAAGCTTGGCAAACAGGTTTTTTACCGTTGACCCAGCAAACACCCGGTGGGGACATAGTAAGAAAATCTTCAAGCTCAGGGCACACACATTCATTAGACAAAACTTTTTTTGATTTCGGGTAGTAGCTGCGTGGAATGACCTTCCTCCGACGGTTGTACACGCTCCCTCTCGAACCCAATTTAAAGCACTATTAGACATTTATTTATGCGAATCCTCGCGCTGGCGAGCATACTGCCCCGCGCTGAGAACATAAAGAGCAGTGCTACACCCTTTTTTCACCTGTGCCTTTCAGGTGAACGACAGCCACTGACCGACAAGAACAAAACCGACCCGGGAGACTTGGGCAATAGCCTCGATCCTGTGTATCAATCCGTGAATCCGTGATGCTGTTACATGTTTGTTCGTCCCCGGCGCAGTGAGCACATTGATCATGGATCTGATGCAGATGGTTCTGGCCGTACTATCAACTTTATTAGGGTTGTCGAGGCTCTCCGGTGTTCCATGCATCTTGACTCCATCGTGAGGCTGTTGTCCAAGGGTGTGCGCTTGACGCTGCAGCCCACGGGATCTTACCTGCACCGCGTGTTCGGTGCAAGTATTCTGGTTCAGTGTTTGACCCAGAGTCCACCGTAAATAGCGATCATCATACCCTTGAATCAGTACCCGATCTTCTTTTGACTGCTGTGTTATTCATTCTGCCAGCCCCTCCGGCTTCCTGGATAGTAGCGTCAGCATGGGACTGTGTCAACGGGTGTACAATGCGGTAGGCCATGATTCGTGAACGTAGACTAGAGTGAAAGACCTACCGGCGCCAGACTTCACGAGCTTAATAACGGCTATGTCGCGTATGTTTCGATTGCCTTCCGCCTCGGATGTAACCGTAGCGACTATAGTCAGGATGTGACATTACCGTTAACATTTTGCCACCACCTGCAGTTACTTCATTACAAACGGTATTGAGGTCCTGCTCCCAGCGTCGAAGTCCAATACAATCAATGTTCGTATAGCTTGGTAAGTAGCAAGTATCACTGAATTGAACTTCATTGTGTATCGCGGAGCAGTTCAACTTCCTAGACAGTTTGAAGCTTTCACGGGGCTCCCCACTCATAGTCCATTTTGTATATTCAATTAGTAGCTTTCCAATTACCTTCTGTAATCAGAGTAAAATCAGAACCTGTATCAAACTGGATGAGGGGTAATTGATGTGTCTTTGGTACACAGTTGGAAGAATTCTCGTCGACCGGGAAATTTCATCGTGAATCCAACAATCATGACCCTGAGTGCGTGTTTTTGTTAGGTCAGTGTTTGTGCAAGCGCATGACGTGCCCTATTTGTGGTCTCTATGTTTACACTTGCTGTACCTATGATTTTGGTAGGGTCAGTGGCGTGCAAGGTACCATTCGTCAAACAGCCAACAGGTTGTGGGTTCGCCTGTGGTCACTTGGAGTTTTTTTTTTGGGGGGGGGCTACTTTGCGTATTGCGTCGGACTGAGATGGTTGAGAATGTTCAGTCATTACCGCATCACCCTTGAGATAGACAAGGTGTGGCATTCAGTGGTGAGTTTCTGAAATATCTACCCCGGACCCTGTTCAGTTTGATTCAGTAGTCGGG